GCTGGCTGGGGAATTCTGGGAGTTGAAGTCCGGACATCTTCAAGTTCCCAAGGTTGAGAAACACTGACCTAGAAGACCCAACTGAGAGAGACCAAGATGCAAGGAACCGTTGAAGCAACCCCCATCTTTTTGGGTAGAGCCACCCCAGTTGGAAGACTAATTTCCACCTGCCTGGGAGAAGGACGACAAGGCAAGGATGCATTTTCCCCCAAAGCCCCTTCCTCTATTTGAACAGGTAACATAATAATAGGGAAACTGCTGAGAAAAGATGGTTATTAGAACACTTGAGAAAGAAGCGAGGAAGTTGGATAGTTGTCAGCCTGGTCCGAGCCTCCTTGGATGCCCCTCAGGAGAAGCAGCCATGGATCCAGAAGGTCCTTCACCCACCTTACTCATAGCTTCAGCGATGGAATCCACCATGTTCCCCACCATGCCAACTTCACTGGCGGCCTCATTCAAGGTCACCATGATGTCGTCCACGGCTTCCTTCATGAGCTGGGCTGCTTCCAGGATGGCGTCGTGCGTGTGGGACGCCTGGGAGGGAGAACGGAGACCCGTCAGCCTTTCCTTCCTTTGCAATGCAGTCGGGAGCACAGAGCCCCCTCACGTCCTCCGGTGGGACAGACGTGGGACACCGACGGACCCCCAGGTTCCTCTAGAAGCAGCGCATGGAAGGTGCAAGGAAGGAGAAGAGGACTCCCTCTGGAGCAGAGGCTTCTAAGAACGGACCCAAGGGGAAGGACCTCTCCAGATTGCGGCCACTGCCACCCTCAAGGAGGGCAGGTACACGCTGAATTAAAAGCTTCCTGGTGTATCAAAGAAGAAACACAGCGGATGTCCAGAGTGGCCCCAGTATTTTGTCACAAGGTCTTAGAATCAGAAGGGGCCACCAAGATCATCCATCCTAAACCTCTTCCAAACGCAGGAATCCACATCGGGGGGATCCAGCAGCAAGGGGAGGCCATCCCCTCTCTGGGGACTGTCTANCCTCTTCCTCTCTATGGCAGCCCCTCAAATATTGGAAGATGCTCTCCTGTCTCCCCTGGTCCTTCTCTTCACTAGACTAGTCATGCCCACTAGACTTGCTGACTTTCTGGCTCATTTAAGGGAAGGCAACACACAGCCATAGGTTTACTAGTCTCAATGATATCTGGTATTTTACCCAGTTCTAAGACATTATGAGACACTGTCCGTTTTGCATGAAATGAAATACCTTCTCATTACGTAATAAAGATCTTACTTACCTTCTCATAGAAATGTGCCTTGAGGGTGAATTTCAAAATTTACAGTGTGAATATTGTCTTTTAATGAGATGGTTGGAATGAGAGGAAGATACAAGATAAATGTTCTATGGGCCCTGGTGTTGGAGTATCTAGCACCTCCTTTAAAAACATTGTGACGGGATTCATCAAAAGGTGTCAAAACAAGATACCCAGTTCCTTCAAGAATCCTGAGAATGGAGCAGTCAATGTTAGCAGAACCAATGGCAGAAATGAAGTAAATATCCTGTTCCTGTTCCTGTTCCTTGTATCAAAGGAGGGTTAATCTCCTTGAGTTGAAGATATACAAAGTACACTTGGCTGAGGTCCATTGCTTGAGTTATCAGCTTGCCAAATCTACAGTAAATATTTAATAGTCCTTGTGACAATGCGATTGCATGGCACAAAGAACCAATTTAACCAACCCATCTAGGATGTTATCTCTTTTCTTTTATTATGATGGACTCCTACTAAATGTTCAATTAAATCTCAAATGAGGAAAGCTTTATTATAGACCAGGGGTGTTAAACTCGATTTCATTGCATCAGCGTTGTGTTTGACCTCGGGGCCGGTGGCAGGGCTGGACTGGGCCTAGCTAGCTCGCCGTCACTCGTGTCGGGGGCACCTGTGGTGGCCCAAGTGCTCTGCCAGTGAAAACGGGTTCCTGAGCTCCGTTTACGGCTGTGATAGCCTCCTGCAACCCTCTGCCAGCAAAAATGGAGCTCAGGAGGGGCCACACGTGGCCCGTCCGAACTCTGTTTTCTCTGGCAGAGGCATCGCGGGCTGGTCTTTTGCCGTTTCCAGGGTGGACCAGATCTAAGGACCTCACGGGTCAGATTCGGACCCTGGGCTTTGAGTTTGACGTCTCTGTTATACCTCTATGGAAATTCTCAGTCATCCAGATCATGGTTGTCCCAAAGGTGTTTTTTTTCAAAAGGCCTTCTGAAGAAGTTTCTTGAATGAGAGGCCCAACGTCTTCAAGGAAAAGCAAAGTCCAGTTGGCTTTTGAAAAAAGCACTTTTGGGACGAACTGGCATTTAGAAACCACAGCCAGAAACCATGATCTCTCAACCACCTGGTTTTGCACATATTTCTTCTATCTATCTATCTATCTATCTATCTATCTATCTATCTATCTATCTATCTATCTATCTATCTATCTATCTATCTATCTATCTATCTAT